TGCATATGCTTCGTCCAAGCTATGCAAACAGGTTCAGCGTGATCGTCCTCGTGGATAGACTTATAGGATACGTGTTCCCTGCCCAACCATATCGACATGGGGAATCAAGCTCCCGTTCTGAGCTTCAGTTTCTCAGTGAAGCCGTCAGAATATCACAGAGTTCAGTACATTGAGAGGAGATGAGTATCAACACTGAAGAGGCCGCTTGTTAATCATTGTGAGGTGTTCTATCAAGGGGACCAAGCATGTAAGAGGTCCCCTGCCAGGATGCAGATTAGCTGTTTTGTTTTGATGGTTTGGCATTTACGTCCTGCATTGGCATGTCTCAAAATAGGTCAACTCCCTCTTGGGTGGTTGGCACGAACCTGAGAACCCTGTTTTTGCTTTGGCAGACGATAACTTCATTGTATGCCTCGCAATACATACTCTTGATATCAGCCACATTGCCCAGAAACTTCAGGTTATGTCTTGCTTCTGGTGCATGCCATCCATTCGCCTGTGACTTCGAAGTTGCTTCGGCCGAACATTTGGGACAGGCAGAGCCATGTTTTTGCACTGGAAAAGTGACATCCGTAGACTTTGTATTTTCCTTTGGCTTCATTGTTACCAGGTCTTTTGGGGCACACGAGCACGAGGTCAGCGGCGACACCGCTGGGTCACCTTCCAGGGATCCTATGACTTTGGGCTCGGGGACCCGAGCCATGCCCAGAGTCCAGGTAGAGAAGGAGAAATAGCTGAACCTGGGGATTCCCGAATAAAGGAAACCACCAGTTGGATGGTTTTTTTTCCGGGTCATTCATGGTCATTCCATTCTCATTCTTTGCTGAGCAAGTTGCCTTTGGGATCTGTGTGAGTCATGGGAGTTTCCTTCACAACTTCCTGAGTGGCAAACGTGTGGATTCGGTATGGTTCCAAGCAAGAAGCTCTGCGTTCATTGGCCAGGGTTACTCCAAAGCGATAGAGGTCAGCCAACTGCTAGCCATCTGCAAATCTTTGGAAATGGCTCCCGCTACTTGGCTCATAGCGGCCCTGTAAAGCTACATGGCGGGTATGGCTGGTGCACGCTCAAAGGTCTTAGTACCATGGCGCTTGTGTTTCACGGGAAATCAAATATCCAAAGCGGAACCTCTACGGCTGGACTCCTTACATACCGATACGAAATCTTGAAAGCCTCGAAGCCCATGATGAGAACACACGGTTCCCCCCAACCCCTGAACTTCTTCATATGTGAAGAGCCCCAACTAAATAGGTGCCAACGCATGCAAGAGTGCAGCAAAGTTGTGCCACCAAGGAGCCCTCGACCAATCAGGTGCCCTCTCTGTTTCTTGAAATTGTTGAATTCGTGCCCGTGCTATGAGTTCGCTTGACGTTGGCTTGCAGCTTCTTGCTGACGCCTCACAAGGTACATCCTCCGACTTCTCACGAATCGCCGTCTACCACCGGCGCTGGATGCTTTTGAGGACTTGCCACCCGCAGGGGAATGAGGCGGAGGCATATTGCTCTGGCATGAGTGCAAGAGTCCTCTCATGGTTGTGCGGCCCCTGGTTGATTCCCTTGTCTATAAAAAGTAGCGCATACAGTATGCCCTGTGACATACATTGTGTGGTGAGTTTAATTGCATTGAGGGGTTGCTGCGGGCAATATCCTGGAAGAGTATTCAAGAACACCGTTCAACGGCATCACAGGATTGCTTTGTGCCTTTGGTCAGTCCCAGGTCGCTCGCTGGCCACACCGCAGTTTTGAACCTTCACATTTCCTGTTCACCCCGTGAACATAGACAATCACATGCTTTTCAAAAGGGCTACAGCTAGTCAGAGCCTGCATTCTTTGCATGCCATGCAGCAATCTTTACCTGTCAATCAGTGAAGGTCTTTCTCTGCAAGTCGTCTATGGTGCCAGTCTCACCAAGGCCAATAAAGCGCAGAATGATGAGTGCCGGGCCATTGGGTTTGCGCTGCTCTCTCAGCATGCACTGCTCTGCTAGCCCTAGCAGGCTGGAAATGATCCCAACCCGCCATCTCCCTGCGGGGCGGCATTGGCGGCATTGGCATTTGCTTTTCCCCTGCCTGTGGTTGGCATTGCCAGGAGCTGCGGTCCAACTTTTTCCCGGACTGGTACGAGTGAAGGCCTTAGCCAAGGCGTGAACCCCGTGCCCAGAGCCTCGGGCTCTACACTTTGTGGTGCTTGTGCGGAGGGCAAGTTTTGCCCGGGAAAACCCGTCACGGTTTCAAACGGAAGGCGCCGGATTCATTCCAATCTATCAATGTAGGTGGCATGAAACAGGACGGGTTTTCTTCCAGCCATTCATTTCAGCAATCAATAGCGAGGTAGATGAAGAGTAGCAAAGGACAATCCGAGCAAAACACAGGTGCGGCATTCTTCCTCTCATTCACCATGGCTCTCAGGTCGGACATTGTAATACCGGTGGTGGCGTGAAGGATAAAGCCAAGGGTATAAACCCATTTAGGGTTCAAGTTTCGTTGGGGTGTGATTTTGTGACAACTGGGGTGGTTGGCCAAGTTAGAGAGTTGTTGGTAACCGTTCGGGTCCAACGAAGTCATATGTCCCCAGTTCGGTCGGGTTTACCTTGTTGTGAGGGGCTGGAAGAAACAAACAGTGGCTAACCACTGAATTTTGTGAATCGGACATCAAAGTGAGGATCCTGGTAAAATGTAAATTCTGTTGTTGGCATGTTAGTAGTTTTCTAGTTGGGGCTGCAGAAAACGGGACTCGGCTTTTTCACTACTGCCACCATTTGGGTCGTAAAGTTCCCCGAGCTTTTCGGACCGGGACCAAGCCGTTGCCTGAAGCGCAGGCTTCAATCAAACGGGAGTTTGTGCTCGGAATTCCCCGCCATTCCGAATCCTGAAATTAATATGTGTGTTTGTTCATTCCTCTGATTTAAAAAGGGAATGAGGACATTTGTCTTTTGTCCAGGGGGCACATTCGCATTTGGAAGCTAAAAGAGGTTCCCTGCAAAATCTCGAGTTCCCATCGGGTCACTGCAACCCTTCTCTTCTGTGGCTTTAGGGATCGTGGACCCTGATAGCACAACCATCCCCGTGCTTCCAGGCAATGATCGTGAATAGGTTTCTTGCCCCTAGGGTCCACGCAATGCTTTCCCTGGGCATAAACTTGTTCAAACGAAAACACTGTGGGCCACAGATTCGTTGAGTTTCACACATTTGAGGTCACGAATCGGCCCTTTCCGGTACTCTCGGGTACTTAAGCCGACTGTGGCTTTGAGCTTGATATATATGGTACAGCGTTGCCAGCCCCCCCCCCCCCTGGTTTAGAGGTGTTTGGTAGGGTTGGTTTAGGTTTAGAGGTGTACGGTTTAGGGTTTGGTTTAGGGTGTATTTAGGGTTGGTTTAGGGTTGGTTTAGGTTTAGGGTTTATTGTTTAGGGATTGGTTTAGGGTGTATTTGGGGTTAGTTTAGGGTTGGCTTAGGGTTAGTTTAGGGTTGGTTTATGTTGATTTAGGGTTGGTTTAGGTTTAGAGGTCTACGGTTTAGGGTTTGGTTTAGGGTGAATTTAGGGTTGGTTTAGGGATAGTTTAGGGTTGGTTTATGGTTAGTTGCGGGTTGGCTTGTCCTGGGGGTGGGGGTGCCGGGGTTTCTGGGTGCGAGTTCAGGGGGTCGGGGTGGGGGTGGGACCGTAGGTGCCAGGATCCGGGGGCTCGGGGTCTCGGGCCCGGGGGGGGGGGGCTCTTGGGGGACCATACCATATGGGGGGGGGGGGGTAGCAACACGGAACACGGGACCATATATACATATAATATATATATATATATACACAAACATGGCTTTGCTGTTGGTTTCCCTTTAAAGTCCACAAAACGACGGGGGTACCAACTAGCCAACGGCGTCCCATTTGGACCCGAGGCTTCGAGATGAGCTTCCCAGAGGCTCTTTAGACAGCCTGCTGCGAGACTTTGGCGAGGGCCCTCGGTTCGAGCGATGCGCGAGGGTTCCTTTTGACGGAAGGATCACTTCCATGGGAGGGTCGCATTGGGTGAACTTCCATGGGTCGCATTGGGTGAAGGGAAGGAAAATGAGACATTTGCGAGCTGGCATTGAGTTTGAGGGCCCAACAGGTTTTTGACACCTCAGGTTGTTGAATACGCGAAACAGGTTGCTGCAACCGACTCAGCACTTCTGTTCTTCTCAGCTGGCTGGGAACAGGGTAGCCAGTGTTGAGCAAAATCAAGGGTGTCTTCATTGGCGAGAATTCTTTGCAGTGGGGAAGGCAACCTCAGACAAAGCCAAGAGGATGTGTTTCATCCCTGGAAATGTTGACAGACTGGCAAGGGCATGACATGCTGCGGTTTTGAATTTCCAGTTTCTGCCCTGCATTGTTTGCGAAGACTCGAAACGCAACAGGCACGGATTACCCCTGCATGCCGCTCACAGCCTTCCCTCGCATTCCTTCAAGTTGTGGCTCGGTCTTCACTGCTATGAGGGCGTTCAACATTTTTGTGTATTGGACCCAATCCAGAGCGCTAGCTGGTAGAAGTTCCAAGAATGGAGCAAGCTTCCTTCACAGGTGAAGCTGCAAGTGCGAGGATGAAACTAGTTTGGTGCTGACCTGGAGGGATCTCTCGATGTGTGTGAACCACTTACGGAGACAGAGACATGGTGCAACATGAAGTGACACGGCGAGCACAACCTGAGTCAAGCTGCCATGAGGGGGTTGCAAAAACCTGAATGGAAGTCTTCCCCGGTTGCGTGATAGCGATCGGTCGCGATCGTTTTCCTTGCAACAATCAGGGGAACAAACCACCCCTCCTGAAGCAAATGTAGGTCCCCTGAACACACCCTCCAAAAGTTAAGACTCTGATTTCTGGGGGCCATTCAAAACCACCTGGAAAGGAAGCCCTCAAAGCAGATGCTCAAACCAACATGTCCCATGCTCAAGCCATGGTCCTTTCAACAATTTGAAGCACTGGTTTCCCGAAGCCACGCATTTCCGGTGGATTGGCCCCTGCCAGCTCTGCCGAGGTGTGGAGCGTCATGGACGGCCCCACACCGCCGGCAGCGACGCTCTGGCAACGCTGGAGCTCTTCTTTCAGGCCGAGCCATCAGAATCCGGGTAGCTTGATTGCCGGGGGTCTTCAGACTTTAGCTTGAGGGATTGAAAATCTGTTGTGTTGTCCATTGAACCCACAAGAACTTATAAACTTTTGGCAGAGGGGTCAACAGCAACCAAGGTGGGTGAATGTTCAGGGACAGTTCCAACCAAAAATGGGTGCGGATATGCACCCTGTTCATTCTTTACGTCGCTTTGGGTAGACCTTTTCAATACCCGGTTTTGATTGTGACTCATTTGGAAGTCCGTTCGGATTCGGGAAGCCCCAAGGGATGTGTGTGTGTGTGTGTGTGTGTGTGTTTTGTTTGTTTGTTTGCTTTTCGGCAGGGGGTACCCTTTTCTGGGGTTTGGTTAAAGGGATGCCATAAGGAATACCTACAAAAAAGTGCCCCTATTTTGACATACACCCCCGTGTTGGGTTTTTTGGATGGAACGTAGGGGGGAACTTCAATCTCGGCCTCATGTTGGGTGATTTGTTGGTTTGAAGACACGTAAAACAAGCACAGGGAGCTTAGTTGACTAGAATGGCTGCGCTTTCCTATTGTTTGGCTGCCTTCTGGCAAATAGATGCTCCTGTAGCGGAAGGCTGGTATGTGTTGACAGTGTAAACACGAAGCTAGAATGTTATTGGACGTCCTCAATGCTATTGGAGAAAATACCGCAAATATTAGATGTGAAATCCATCGCAGGGCCTGGTCCCCTTGACAGATGAGGTTCGATTTAGTCGGACAAAGCCAGAAGTAAAAGGCCATGCTGCTCGTCGAGCTGGTCATGCCGAATGATCAAAGCTTCTTTCCGCATCTACAGGCAAAACGCAATGGGTTTATCAAATGTCTGTTTTCAGAAGATAGGGAACCCCTTTGGGATGCACACCAAAAGCTAGCCCACCCACATTTAGGGTTCCTGAAAGGACAGCAGCCCCACATGCTGGGCATCCAATGGTGTTTTTCACTTAGGAAGAAGACGGAGCAGAGGCCTTGTTCGGGTGCCCTTCCCAGCTGTGGGAGGGGTCTTCCTCAGAGTCTTCCAATAGGTGTTCCTGAGGCTTATGAGTTCCGAACCTAGTCTCTGGCAGGCTGCAGCTCGGGCTTTTTTTGTCGCAGGTGACGCGGGAGGGCCCGAAGCGGTTCCAATCCTGCTTTTCAGAAGCATCCACCTCCGCCTCCTTCCTCACCGATAGCTCAGGCGGGGTTGCGAAGGGGGGCCTGCGCACCCCCCTTTTGAAACTGGGATTCGGGAGGGGGTTGCCATTTGGGGTCAGTTCAGCCTTTGAATGGAACTGAGGGGAGCCATTCAGGAGCACCAGAATGAAACGTCAGCTGAAAAACCTTCCTCAAAAAGTGGCTTGTGACGAGGCTTTGTGTGGAGAGGCCCCAGTCATACTGAATCCAAACGTGGGCATCTAAAGCCGAAGATTAATTTTGGCTACCCTCATCCGCTCACAAATGATCATGCGCAAAAAAGAGGCAAGGGGAATTGTTGATGCTAGACACACTGTTGCTTCATTGTCAAACCATTCCAGCCACAGCCACTTGCACGACTTGCACAAATGGCAGGTGGCAGCTACTACCCAGAGACTGCTCAAGGCGGGCTGGGATGTGCAGTCCGCCAAGTTGATCTAAGCAAACAGAAGGATAGTTTGGCTGCCTTGACGTGTCCACCTGTTGATGGACACTGAGAACGCTGGCTGTCGCCCCACCCGTTTACCAGTGCATGCGCATACGGCAATACGTCACTGCTTTATTTGTGTTTTAGTGGCTTTCAGCGCGTCCGCGGCTGGATGCTCCATGCTCCGACAATCTGACCAAGAATGGCAACAACTTGCGGCGACAACATCATCCGAACATCGGAGGCCCGCATTCCCCCCGAAAGAAGAACCACTCTTGAATAGTAGGGTCCGGATTGATCCGCAGATCCCTTGGAGAACTGTACGTTCAGGATTGCGGACCTTTTCCAGACGTCCTGGAAGTCTTGTCAAGGCTTTTCGGGCCGCGTCATAGAACCCGGGGGGGAGTGGCCAGAGGCTTGGTGCATTCGAATGCTCCAGGCTATGGCTTTCAATGGACGGAGGACGGCCAGGCCAAGCTTCAAGTTGATGTCGGGCTCGTGGGAATATTCCTTCATGTTTCTGTTCATGAATCAGGTGTCCAGAGCTGGTCTGGAAAGAAGCATGGAGGGTGCATTGATTCATTGGGGAGCGGATGGTTTATGCAAATGGTACCGTGTTCGTCGTGCTCAGTGTTCCGCCTCATGAGGATTTGGTCCGTTGGCCTGTCAAGCCATCGCACCGCGCAAGGCTCACCATGTCCTCAGAGACGTAGCTGGCAGCATGCTCAGGATGCGACCAGCCAAGTTGAGACACGTAGAGTAATTGCAGGGTTGTCCGTTTATATATATACACATGAGTTTGCAGTGTAGGGGTCGAGTCTTTCTGGAGCTGCCAAACATATCCCTGAAAAGGTAGCAAATGGACAACGGCGGATCACTACAAGGAATTGAAACGAGAGCGTGTTTTTTTGTTTGTCTCCCCTTTTCGTGGAGCTCGTTAAGGTCAGAACATGCAGCAGAACATGCAGCAGAACATGCAGGACGTCCAGAATTGGAACGAGGCTCGGAATGACAGGGGGAGCGAAGATCGGGGATTGTGGATGTGAATGAGCGGCCTGAGCCCGCCTCAGCCCTGACAGGCTAAGGCTCATCCGATTGGAACCGTATCGCAAGAGCTTCTTCTTTTGGATCATTCGCTTCATGAGCAGTGAGGAGCAAGTGGGGTCGCATGCGGGTGACTGATTCAGGTGGACAAGACCAGTCAACCGATGTGATTATTGTATCCTGAAGATTTACAGTGACACATCACAGATTATGATGCAACAGTCTCGGAGAACCTTGGGCTTAGCAGAATCTGAAGGTGGTAAAGGTGCAACTTGGAAGTTCGAGCGTGCCGACGAGTTGCGTTCAAAGCTCTTGAATTCCGCCCGTCTGCTGAAGTGGCCAGATCATGTGGAGTCATGCGCCACAACTTGGAGGTGTCTTTTCCCAAGGTGACCATTTGGGTTGCTGTCAAGGAAACCAATTTCGAGGAGAAATCCGCATGACGGCTGTTTTGTTGCTTGGGTTGTGTGTCAAAGCCAGTCCCCTCTATTTGGCAACACAGCCCCTTTCTCCGGCATGGGATCAAAAAGAGTAAGGTCGTTGCCGGTTCGGCTCCGGGAACTAGGATAATTAGGTCCCATGTTGGTGGGGACCTGGGAACCTACCGAAACGCCCCAAGATGAAAGCTGAGGGACTGGATGCCGGCTTCACCGGGTTGGTTCCCTCATCTGCGCGGCCCTTTTGTTTCAAGGCAGATCAAACGGAAAAGCAGACGGTTCATGGTTTGGTTTGGGAGTTGCAGGCATGGCTCTTGTGTGTGCTGCTAGATTGCTGTTGTGTTTCTGCCTGCTGGATGCTTTTTGCCTCTTTGTTTCCTCGATGATCTCACTGGGCGCCAGGGCTACATGCCGGTAGAGATCCAAAGGCCATGGGACGAGGCAGCTCCGGACTCTGGTGGGAGGCATTTGACCCGTTTCTGGCCTGATCTCCCGAACCACACTTTCAACAAAGCAGGTCAGATGGAGGAGGCAGCTTCGAGTTGCGGGCGTAAGAATTCCGAGCTTGAGCATGCTTGGCTTTTGATGTCAGTTCTTTGTTTGCGCAATCAAGGGCATGTTGCTGTGTTGTAGATGAGCTTGGGATGCCAGTCAGGGTTGCAGCCAAAAGGATAACTGCTGCATCATCAAATAAGGAACTGCTGATGCAAGCGCCACGATTAAATTGGATGAATGTACATAGTCAGAACGTAAACACTTGGAATGCATCGTTTGTGCTTCAGCATCATTCCACTTCCAGAATTATTGAGATAATAACAGTTAAAAGACTGCCGCAAGGATGTGTGGGGCAGGTTCTTCAATCAGCTCCTGCTGCAGGAGTGTAGCTCGTTTTGATCGCTTGGGCAGCATGGCAGTCCCAAAAACAGCATGCGACCTACCAGCCGCGCCGATTTCGAAACACGGCGCCGTATTTGTTACCTCCAGCAGGTGTCCCTTTGATCTCTTGGCTTGGTGACCGCTGTGCAAAGCGAAGTGACCAAATCATGGCTCAACATGTCCCTTGGCCACTGAAGCACACAGATGAGCCACAATGAAACCCGGGTAGATGAAGGTTAGTAAGGGACGATCCCAACCATAAATAGCTGCGGATATCCGCCTTCTTAATCCTGTACATGGTTCCGGGTCCATTCTGGTACAAGGTTTTGAGTGCGACTCAGGCACCACTGGATCGGCACGACCTGAGCTTGCCAGGCTCCAGCCTATGATGGCGGGAACCCGCAGCAAGGCATCGGAGGGAACGGTCAGGGAAAGATGCGATGGCAACGGAGTTGGGTGATGGATCTGAAAGATCCAGTCGATTCAGAATTCTATTGACTTACTGTCACTGGATATGGCTGTGGCTCAAAAACATAGACCAAAATGGCACCCTTGGCAAAAGGAACCAAAGACTATATCCTGCGTAACCCTAGCTCTTTAATAATTTTGAGCCACACCCATATCGTTCCATGAACTAAACGTTGTATAGTGCCGCATCGCTCGCATACGGCAAGCAGGTTCTCCTCGGTCCCCGCCTCCCGAAGCGAATTCCCCATGCTCCGGAGCATGGGGAATTGCGGGGGAGCGAGAGCATATACCCTTCGTTGTTCTAGGCCTGTTGGGTGCACAGGACTCAGGACGGGACCAATGAGAAGGGTCCCCAACTCCAAGCACTGCACCAGATTGCAACTGGCCAGGGTGGCAGTTGCTGAGCACGGGTCCGGCGCTACAGGCGCGGAGTGTTCATGATTTGACCCCATGGGTTTGAGTGGAGCCAGACATGCAACCTGCGAAACGAGGGGTCAAGTTGAAAACACCTTCCCTTCCACAAATTAAATCTCTGCCGAAGGAGGTCAATCAACATTCTTAGATCTTTGGTGTTTCTTGGGAATTCACGTGCAGCCCCGCGTTTGGAATCAGGTGGAAGCAGATTTCTTGGCTTGTGAGTTCCAGTTGCGCCGGTGAAGCCGTAAGCTGACCGCTTCGGGGCCCGGTTTTCCAGGACACTGAAGGTCCCGTGGAAGCTTCTGGAACGGGCCCGATGCGCTTAAACCACAAACCTTAATAGATCCAACTCGGCGATGAAGTTCTGATTTTCGCTGGGCTGTGGGGGTTGACCCTGGCAGTTGTGAGGAGAAGGTTACGCTGCCTGCCTTTTGAGCTTTGAGGAAAAGGCACCCTGAGGGACTTTGACAATGGGGACCCAGTCCGGGTCCTGTTTATTTCCGCGAATAGGAATCTGTTGAAAAGTCAATCCCATGACGAAAAGATGATGAAAGAGATATAACCAAGCCATACTATTTGTTTCTCTGTTTATTACTAATTTATTTATTTATTATTATTTATTTCTCTTTTATTACTATTTCTTTATATTTTTATTATTTATTGTAAACTTTAGAATCTTAGCATTTACAAATAGACAGATATGTCGCGAACTTCTCGCAACTAATTCAAACCACTGGGTAGTCGCCAAGGAACATTTGCAGACTCAAGCGTAGGATAATTTGGTATTCACTTAGGATCGCCCTTGCGATCTGACAAGTATTGCTTGGTCTCATATTGTTGTTCATGTTTATCCAGTGTTGGTGTTGTGCCGTTTTGACATCGTGCACAGAATGCTTTGCTTCAGCATACATTACACGTGTGAAGTGAGGAAAACACACACACACACACACACACACACACACACCCACGCACGCACGCACGCACGCACGCACGTACGCACGCACGCACGCACGCACGCAAACAAACACAGACACGCCAAGCCATATACTGCGCCCCAACTGCGAGATTCCATGAATGGACACCACCCCCACACCAAATATATGCTGACATTGGAGCTCTGGGCTTGTGGGCGGGAGTAGCCAATCACTCTTTTACAGGCTTTCTGGAATGTTGGTCTCTTACCCATTCCGTTGGTTCCCACTTTTTGTCTTGTCCACGCTGATATTTGCTGCTCTGGTTTCTGATTGGAGGGTCTTCGTATTGGGGTCGGTTAGTAGTCGTGCAAGAAAAACACCAACACATGCAGATCTTTGGGTGTGTGAGGCTAGGGGCGACACGCCTATTTTCTCATAGGGACGGGGTCAAGTTTGAAGAGACTTAAGGTTGGGCTTTCATGATGGCGTTTCCAAGGAAGTTGAGCTTTTGCAGAACCTTTCTTGTGACTGGAGTTTAGTTGACTTTGGGTCGGACAAGGCGCGGCCACTAGAGGCTGGCCGATGGGTGCGGAGCGTTTGGGCCAGGTCTTCATTCGTTGGATCACAGCATGTGTTGCGAAGGGAAGGAAACCTCGACTTGCTAAGCCTCTTCGAGAGCTCTTGACAGGCTGAAGCCATCCCGTGAGTCCTTGTTCTTGTCGTTGACGGAGGGTTTTTCAGTTGGATTTGCGTGACGAAAGCAGCGGGGCTGGGATTGTTTCTGTGAAGGGCATGCTTTTGGGCTGCGGGGCAGGCAGCAATTGACACAGCAATGCTGGGAGTGCGCTTTGATGGACATCAAGCCTTTAACGGCGCGTGTGCATACCGAGTATGAGGATGTCTTTTGAATTGTCAAACGGTAGCAAGCCGTTGACTCAAGTGCGTCCTGGGTCGGCGAATAGCTTGTCAGCTTATGTTCAAACACAGCAGAGGAGTTCCCATAAACGGCAGTTGCCAAAGTCCCGATCAAGACAGGCCAGTCATCGGAGGTGAACTGACACGCAAAGCTACGTAGATCAACAGTCAACACGTTTGGTGGGGCACTTGCCAATCAGTTATTGGTTCCCCCTTGCTGTACAAGGTAACTTGTTCTACTTGCAGTGTTTTTTTTTGCGTGAAGCTCAGTTTGCATCAGGTCAGCAACTCAGGCATATTCGGTCAGTTCAGAGCTGACTTGGCAGCTTGGGTTGGCGCGCCTCTTTGGCGGGTTGTGTTCGGAGGAAACCAACATGAATTCTGAAATCATTAATTTTGGGGGGCCTCCTCTTATGGAGACAAGCCCTGCAAGGTGTGGATGCACAACATGTGTTTTTGCTTTTAATCAAGGGTCGACAGAAAAGTTCAACCAGTTCTCTAGCCGTTTTTTTCAAGATATGCATTGCGGGGGGGCATAAACCAACATGAAATTCGTGATTAGGGGTGACCGTAAAAGCGTCGCCGGTACAGAATGCCCATTTACCATGTGTTCGAGCATATGTGAACCAATGGATGGTCACTGCCGAGTAAGATGAACGTGACGAAACACGGGGTGTCCTCTAAGTCAAGAGTTAAGTTTACCTTCTTGGACAAATGTGTGGCCCCTCTAAAAGTGTAGATATCCTTTTGTCATGTTGTTGATTGGAATAGGAAGGTTGGTGGATGGTGTTGTTAGCACGCCACTGTGCTTGCGGATGTTGAAAAGTTTCTCAAAACCTCAATGATTTCCAGGCAAGACAGCGTTCCTGAGAGCGAGATATGTTTTTATTTGGCTTCACCACAGGTACAGGATGTTTTTGTGTTGGAATGGACGTTCTTAATCTGGCAAGCAAATTTGTTTCAGCGACAAAGACCCTGCACAGTCGAGCTCTTTACTTCGGTAATTAGTGACGTCGCAGTTCTGTGTGACTTAACGCTTTGGGTTCCCTTCCTCCCACAAACATACCGTGGGATTGTACCTGGATAATGCCCTCGAAGAAAGCGCTGTCAGGTGTCATGTTAGTGAAAGGAAGCATTCTACTTTCAGCAAAGATGCCAGCAAAGCAGTGGTCGCCAAACTACTGAGAGTACCTTCCAACAAACGTGCAGGTGTACAGGAACCCTGCCTTCCCAAAGCGGAGGTTGTCTCTCAAAAGGAGGCTGTGCACCAAGCTATGTTTGTTACGTTTGGGTGTACGACAAATGCTACAGATAGCGAATTTGACACAGCTGGGTTTTGTCTCTGTGCTTGCCGGCTAGTTGACTCCTTAGTAGCCATCAGTGTGACTGGGCGAGCCGTTTCATCTTTGGGGAAATCACAATTCCCCCTGTTTCGCATGTTGGGAAGTACCAATTTGTCCCGGAACCTCGTGGAAAACGACTGTTTCCCTACTTGCACATACCTTGGTGGCTCCCAGCCATCCGGTTCCTTAGCTTTTTAGATCCTTTTAGTGTTTAGTGGTTTCCATTTGACCCACTAAAAGTTCGTCTAACTTTTAGCGGGGGATCAGAAAACGGGCCGCCCAGATACCAGGGCACGACCAAACCGGACAGGTGAGATCAATGACCATGGCGCCGCAGCAGCAGGCCCAGGAGCCCATGATTTTTGAGGCATGGTGGCGCCAGTGGCTAGGGTTGCTTCCATTTCCATTCTTTCCATCATTCTTTCTAAAAAACCACCCCAAACCCTGGGAAAACGGATCCGATTTTTGAAAAGAATACCCCTAGAGCTATGTGTTTCGCTTGGAACTCTGTCAAAAGTGGTTGGGCATAAATCCTTAGAATGATGTCCACCAAAGAGTCCCAAGTAACAGCTAAGATTCATATCCACGGCTTTGTCTTTTGCTTGAATGTTGATGAAGTGGTTAACAACCTAGGCTTAGGGTTGAACAACGACCAAGCTCCCATTCGCAAGCCAAGCAAACCGTCTAACATGTTGAGCGATGCTGAAGCCTCAGGCGAATCTGCACACAAATCCAGATCAAGCCTCTTGATCACTGAAGGGCTAGTCGTCTTTGGTAAGACTCTTGGTCAACAACTTGCCCAATGTCTTGCAATGATGATATTATCTTAAAGTGGTATTCTCCTACCTCCCCCTGGCATGCAGTCAGGATTATCCTGTCCGCGTTGCCTATACCGTTCAATGGGCCAACCCCCGTGGGAAACCTTTAGATATATGATCCTCCGTTAGAAATTTGCCACTTAAGAGAAAGGAGTCATCACAAGCCTTCAAAAGTCAAACGTTCACAGGAAAAGTGCATGGTCATATGTTTATCGAGGCTGCAACGAGCTGACTAGGATGCTTACCTATCAACTGAATGTCAGCGCCGTCCTTGTCGTTTCCATGCTCACCCATATTCACCCACGACCAAAAAGGAAGACTAGCTCAACGAAATGCCCATTCCAAGCATCTAATCTGCTGAGAGCAATCCCTGTCTCCATCGCGCTTCCTGCGAACTTGAAAATGGAACAAGCAAGACAGGGCTTGATTCGTACCCTAACACTGTCCCCTTCTGATCTGATGTTCTTCAGAATGATGCTCCTGCAGGAAGTTATGCTCCGCTTCGTAGATCATGCCGCTGCCCCACATAAGATGTGCTTTTGTGCTGCACATCTGGCAGTCAACGGTACGTATGTTCCAAGTTGACGGCAGAAATCATGCACCAACCACCTAAATGAGAACATTCTTGTCACTCTTTACGTTTCAAGCTTAATTTTCACATTTTGAGAATCATGTGTTCGGGGAAGAATGCAATGCCTTCTTCGTATTACAAACCCTTTTACTTTGGAGTGGGTCGGGGTGGCTCGACTGTCGGACTGGAGAAACGGATCCGGCTCGCACAGCAGGCGCAAAATCCGGGGATCCGCATGGTGGGAGGGGATCCGCATGGTGGGAGGGGAACCCCCAAGTTTCGGGATCTGTGGTGGGAACATGTAGGACCCCGCCAAACACGGATTCTCACCCTGAAACCGTGGCTCGGATTCCCCGGAATCCCACCAGCCTTTTTCCCGCGTTCTTCGGCAGGACGAGGCGCAAGCAGTGCTGGCTGCCGTGGGCGCCGGCATGGCGGCGACCTTGTTGGAGGCACCTGGCGTCGGCCTTGACCATTCTCCAGTTGGAGTCGCGGGCGCGCTTCCATGCGGGTGGGCCTCAAAAATGGCTTGGAGCAGGAATAAGCAGTGGCCGATTTTGAGGAACATGAACGTTGGATTCCTACGCACGCACACATTTATTAGACTTTGTGGTGGTGCGATGTCCACTTTATGTTTACGCCTTCCTTCAACAAGCTATGGTCAGGCTTTGGAGAGAGAGGTGACGATTGGATGGTGGTCTTGACATTGCAACCTTGTCGCTCAGCTTTGGCATGTAGGTGTGGCTGAGGTTGTATGAAGAAAGGCCCAGCGCGGTTGCCTATAGAGCCTAATTAAACATAGAAGGCCCTCCCAGGAGTGCTGAACAAGCAACACATTTAATATGTTGCTTGTTCAGCACTCCTGGGAGGGCCTTCTATGTTTCCCTGAGCACTCTCGAAGCTTTGGCCATGGCAGGGAACAAACACCCCGTCAAAACGGCCTGGTATCCTGGAAGAAGCCCAGAAAATGCCCTTGATATAGAGCCAAGAAAGGGTGTCCTTCCAAGGGAGATAAGAATATTAGCAGGGGAGCTTTCGGGGGAAGTTCATCTTCTGGCCGAGTCGCCAGGATCCCATTGAGCAGCAGAACCGGCAGGAGGCGCGAGCTTCGGACGCGTTGGCCGCGAGTTGAAGCGAGCGAAACCAACTTGTGATTCACGGAGCGCTATTGGGGATGACCCTTTAGCTTTTTTGGAGGGGTTTAAAGGCCAACAAAGAGGAAACAAACTAGGGTTCCCCGTTCTGGGCCACCCTTAAATTAGACAGGTTCCTTTGGCTGCCTTGCGTTCAGCAGATAATTAGACCTGTGTTTGAAGTCGCCGCATTGGCAAGGCTCTCGGAATCTTGGAACTTTCCTCATCTCCAAGGGTTGTCCTCATAATATGCATGTATATCAACAGGATGTTGGGCTCCTGGCCAGCACCATGTTAATGGCAACAGGACTGAGCGTACCAGGCGGTGTGATGACACATCAGTCAGATGACAAAGATGATCCTAAGGAATACCTACCACTGGTGTTGCAAGTTGCTTTTACAGTCCTGCGCAGGAAGGTCAGCAGCAGTTGGTGATCGCCTTGGCAGTGAGTGAAGATCAATCACAGAAGTGGGCTGTAAAAAGATATCCTCATAACAACATTGAGCTTGTGGCATCCCATCATGCAGTTGTTGTCTCATGAGCATCTTATTCAGTATCCGCCTCTCCAATGATCAAATGCTAACAAAAGAACATTGGCAGTGCTCCCCCTCATGAGTGTCTTGCGCATGTATTAAATTATGCGACAATGAGTTGTCATGGGGAACACCCTCCAGAATGTGATTGGTGGTCATAATGTTCATCATGTCTACCAAAGGGTCCCCAATCAAATTAATTCCGAAGTGGGTAAGAAAAAGCAGGAACAGAACAATACTTTTGAGGTAGTGCAATGAGGGCCTCAATTGAGCTTGTAATGCGCAGGTCAACCAACAGAGATGCAGGTTGCCCAAAAGCAGTAGTCGCCTTGCCCTTTGCAGAATTTGTTGAAGGACACTGTTCTTGCCAGGCTCAGAGAATCACATTTGCTATGTCGAGGAGGCTGTTTCAAAAGGGCTGAACACTTGAACACTTGTTACCCAGGCATTATGCAATATGTGTGAACTGGAAGCAAGTGCAGATGTGTGTGTGTGTGTGTGTGTATGTTGTGGTTGATGTATGCCAAACACCCGCCTACTCCACGGCCTTCACTGCATCTTCCCGTGATCCGCAGGCTGCAATGCAGCTCCTCATGACGGGCAGAGGCGGTTTGGGGAAAGGGGTAAACCAGCCATCCAGGATCCCAATCTTGTCAAGCCTCCCAGCCAAAAACGGCCGGTCTTTGAACATGTTTTTTTTTTTTTAAGCTACACGGTCTGGTGTCATTAAAAATCGACTTTGAAAAGGCATCAATCCTCCTCTGCTCTCAAGTGTGCATGCCCACAACTTGCTCACCACTGTAGTAGTCTATTTTAGTTGGGATTGGGATGTTCACTGGGGGTACGGGCTCTTGACCCATGGCCATTTCATGCCCCCTTTCTCCGGCTGCCCTTGCCTGCCTCTTTCCGTGAAAAGAGTGCCAGCTCTTGCTGCAGCTACGAGTTTCTTGCCTCCTTTTAAGAAGGGAAGAGCTCGCCGCGTCCAGCTCATCCCTTTTTTCTCCACACGGCAAGCCTCGAGCTGTTGGGTGACTAGCTGGCAACTGATTGCCAGTTGATTCATTTCGATTTGCTCGTTGATTTTACGGTTTCCTTCCATTTCCCCCGCAGCAAATATGGCCTGCTGTACAGGACCCATCTTCCATGAGGTAAAGCTTCCAGGGATCCTTGTGGGGTTTTATACGTCCCTTTGTTGGTGGGCGTTGGTCAGTTCAAACATCCTGAACACCAAGATTGCTTCAGTTTCCTGTTGGTAGCGTGTCTATAGGGGCCATATAAGGAGCCTTGTAAGCCTCTTCAACACGTTCACCTTCCCTTGCCACAGGTGCTGCTCAATGCGTCCAAAGCGTCCAGAGCGTCCAGACCGTTCAGAGTGTGGGCACGAGCATGAACGCAGGTCCTTCTGGGACGGGGGGGACGGGCCGCAGGATCGCATTTTTTGCTTGCACATTGCGGGTTCGTCATTCCAAGCCAAGTCCATGGTGTCTCGTGGATCTCAATCCATCTGCAGACTTCTGAGATTTTGGAAAATCGTACTCTTGCTGAGGCTGTCGGCGCATATCATTGCCACCACCCCCACCACACCCCCACACCCGTCCCCACCAGCCATCACCTCCCAGTCAACTCTAACCATGATAATGCAATAGGTGAACCATGACAATGCGATGGAGGTCAGTCCAGGCCCGACAGAAAGGAGCATGCTGCATGCTGGTGAGAAGGCGGCGGGCTTATCCCGCAAAGGGCCATCCATTCAGACCAAAGCTGTCCAAATCTGTGACAATGGAATCAGAGGCATCAGAGGCGTGTTTGAAGGTAGCCTTTCTCAGTTGGATTGGGTTTCCAGTCTGATGTGTTTTTCGCCGCGATCAATTTCACGACATTCCGTACTCGAGTCAGCTGATTTATACCCTTCCATCCCAGCTTTGACCAAAACAGGCAGGGGTTGATCGAATGGATATCCGTGGATAGGCTACATCGGGACTTTCCCACCAATGAACTGTTGGGGGCAGCTACAACTGTATGTAGGAGCTCCATGTATGCGAGGGGAGTAAAGGGGTGATTGTCATTTGACCGACAACAATACCCCAAAGGTTGATTTCTCTTGATTGCTGGGGACATCCGAGAATCGAGCAAGACGCATCACGAGCCGGGTTTCTCGAGGGCGTCCAGCAAGATTCCAGCAATTCTGAGGGCGGACCAACAAGTGGGAAATGCATGGCCGTAGCGGAAAGCAACGAGCAAATTAGCGAATTGGGTGTTTCCCCTCACCAGCCAGTCCTCAACCCATGCCAATTTGTGATGCTCTTTTCGTTGCGAAGGCCTGCGAAGGCTGCATGGCCTTTGTTGTCTCCGCCAGTAATTGATTCCCTGCTGATTTCAAGAAGAGACACATTTGAAATGGTGTCGGAAATAGGGACAATATTGCATGAAGAAGAATTCGATTGATGTGTGGTGAATTGACGGACCATTGCAATACGCCTGTGATCAATGCTTGGCGACTACATGTGCCTTGTTCAAGATATTAAGTAACTTGAATCTACGAGTATCTGATACTTTGTCATGGCTCCTGATTCACTAGGATAAACATGCCTCAAAAGGAAGTGATCCTTTCTTCAGGTCTGGTTGCAATTGGATTGGACTCGTCTTGGAAACCCCGCGAATCGCGGTGTCGATCTCGAGGCAGAGGAACTTGAAAGGGGGAGGTGCGCTTCAAGTGAAGGACCTTTTCTTGCACGAGTGTGGGGTTGGGATACCCTCAAAAAGCCATTCAAAAGGGTATCCCCAGTTGCATGCTGTCATCTCTCAGGTTTGTGCTTGAGCGCCATGAAGGTGGATGTGCATTTGCCCAGTGGAGATGTGTGCTCCGTGGAAGTCTCACCGGAGACGCCTGTCAGCGAGCTGAAGGCTGCCGCGCAGCAGCATTTCCAGCGCCGCTTGAAGCTCATTGCAAAATGTCGGCAGCTTGATTTGACGGCCACGCTGAATGAGGCTGGGTTGCAAGATGGGGACGTGGTGGTTGCAGTTGTGCAGCTAGGCAAACTCGCTGCCACAGGCGGGGCATTTGCTTTGCATGGCCACGGGGGCGAAGTTGTAGCCTGGGGTGATCCACAATGTGGCGGCGACAGCAGCCAGGTGCAAGAACAGCTGAAGAATGCCCAGCACATCCAAGCAACTTACCGCGGCGCTTTTGCTGCAAATGTGGCCTGGGGCGATCCTGGAGACGGCGGAGACAGCAGCCAGGTGCAAGAGCAGCTGAGGAACGTCCAGCACGTCCAAGCAACTCAGGGCGCTTTTGCAGCCATTCTTGAATCTGGGGCTGTCATGTCCTGGGGTGATCCACACTGGGGCGGAGAAAGCAGCCGGGTGCAAGAGCAGCTGAGGAATGTCCAGCACATTCAAGCAACTGACTGCGGCGCCTTTGCTGCCATTCTTGAATCTGGGGCTGTTGTTACCTGGGGTGGTCCTGTAGACGGCGGAGACAGCAGCCAGGTGCAAGAGCAGCTGAGCAACGTCCAGCACATCCAGGCAACTACCTGCGCTTTTGCTGCCATTCTTGAATCTGGGGCTGTTGTGACCTGGGGTGATCCACATAGGGGCGGAGATAGCAGCCAGGTGCAAGAGCAGCTGAGGAACGTCCAGCACATCCAAGCAACTGAGGGTGCTTTTGCTGCCATTCTAGAATCTGGGGCTGTTGTCACCTGGGGCGATGCAGACTGCGGCGGAGACAGCAGCCAGGTGCAAGAGCAGCTGAGGAACGTCCAGCACATCCAGGCAAATCGCGAGGGTGCTTTTGCTGCCATTCTTGAAACTGGGGCTGTTGTGACCTGGGGTGATCCAGACCGCGGCGGAGACAGCAGCCAGGTTCAAGAGCAGCTGAGGAACGTCCAGCACATCCAAGCAACTGCCCGTGCTTTTGCTGCCATTCTAGAATCTGGGGCTGTCGTAACCTGGGGTGATCCAGGTAGGGGCGGAGACAGCAGCCAGGTGCAAGAGCAGCTGAGGAACGTCCAGCGCATCCAGGCAAACCGCGAGGGTGCTTTTGCTGCCATTCTTGAATCTGGGGCTGTTGTTACCTGGGGTGGTCCTGCAGACTGCGGCGGAGACAGCAGCCAGGTGCAAGAGCAGCTGAGGAACGTCCAGCACATCCAGGCAAATCGCGAGGGTGCTTTTGCTGCCATTCTTGAAACTGGGGCTGTTGTGACCTGGGGTGATCCAGACCGCGGCGGAGACAGCAGCCAGGTTCAAGAGCAGCTGAGGAACGTCCAGCACATCCAAGCATCTGACTGGGGTGCTTTTGCTGCCATTCTTGAAACAGGGGCTGTTGTGACCTGGGGTGTGGCAGCCGGGGGTGGAGACAGCAGCCGGGTTCAAGAGCAGTTGAGCCTGTAATCTTGTGTTGTTGTTACATAGATGCCACAAGTCTGGGGCACCAAAAGCGTGTGAAGGAGGTGAACTCCGCAGCAGGATTTGGCGTGCAAAGCGTTGCTCAGAATTGCGGTGTGGAGCGAAACCAGCAGCGTGCCGCTACAACGCACACCAAGCCGCCTTGGGGTGTTCTTGGGGAGGGGGTTCCCTTCTTGAATGGTAAGGGGAAACCAGTTAGAAACTAACCACCTGAAGGGGTCCCAAACATTTTTTTCGAGACACTCGGGGATGTCTGAAAATGGGAATAAGGCTATTCCCCTCTTGGTTGGTATTTCAACGGAAACCCAAAGGCCGCCAACCATTTCAGGGGACGATGTTGAAAAGCCCGAACTAGGCGCGCGTCGATTCTTGCGGGCTGATTCATTAGGCCTTACGTCATTCTCAGCATGAGTTTCTCCGAGCGACGCCCTTCAAGTACTGGTCAGGGTTATCCTTTGCTCGACTATCTCAGTGGAACATGTTGTTGCTGCACATTCAGAAGTGGAGTTGATTCCTGTTGGAATCCTTAAACTGGCCGATGCTTCAGATGCCAAGGTATGCCAAACACTGCCAAACTCGGGGTTCACGAACCCCGCCAGACTTCCGAGTACCGGATGGAGCAGTTCTGCGCTGGGCTGCAGGGAGTCTCAGGAGAGTCTCCCCCCCCTTGCAAAAAGGAAGGAACGACCATGGACGAAGGGAAGTCCAAAGGAGAACTTTAAAGCTGGCTTTAACAAGTTGACACGGGTCCCCCCTGCTCGTTTCCAAACTCCGAAGGGTGAGCAACCTGAACGAGATTCCGCAGATCGGGTTTTGGGTTTCGGGTTATTTTGGAGCGTCCCTGCTGTGTGTCCAGTTCTTCCCATCTCGAGTGCGAGTAGTCTCAGAAAGCTGGCTGGGCCTCTAATGGGCGCGAGGAAGTGGATGCTGTATCCACGCAACACGCCATGAGGGCTTCGAATCACCAGCCACTTCTTCTCTGAAGTCTGGTTCCAATCTGGCTTGGCGTTCTACGAAGACTTCACGCAATGGACCTTCCCTATTGCAATGAGCATGGAATGCACCGAGTCGTGTTTCTTGTTTGCCTGCTGAAATGTGATTGCTTGTGAGCCATGGTTGTGGGGTCCCAGAGGGTCTAGACATCTTTGCACAGGGTGGTTCCTACGGATGGCCATACTTCAGAAGGCAAGAGCGGCGCAGCCTTTGTTGGGAGGCCACAGCAAAATGTGAAGGTCTCCAAGTGCTTGACTTGCAGCGATTCTGGCGGACAAGTGATGAGTTTGCCAGAAGCGAGGCTCGGTGAAGAGAGTTTTGTCATCCTTAGTTGTACGTGTGACTTGTGAAAAGCGCCCTTCTTCCAATATGTAAATACGTGCGTACGATTGGCAATGTACATTGTGTAAGTAGGCAGCATCAACCAACATCAATCAACTCAAAACAGCTTCGCAGAGCAAGAGCGGCAGATTTGTGGGCAAATGTAATTAATGTGCATGCATTTCATGGATTGCGCGCCTGTTGTGTGTGTGTGTGACGTTTGAGGTTGATTGCACGGGATGGGAAAACAATTGGTCACCACCATTTCGGGGGCTCATTCTGTGGGATCCACTGCCGCTGGTGGGGCAGAACATAAGCTCCTCACCCCCGAAACTTAGTTGACGAATAGCGAGAACCTGGAAACGGTCATAGAAAGATCCTCCAGGGAGCATCAGTTGGTTGAAGATTAGGTTGCAGTGGGATGCGGTTTGAGTTTGTGCGAGTTGTTTCAGTGCTCCAGCCCGGATAGCTGGGGTGGATGGAGCGGTGGGCATAGAACTGAGGTGCCGGTTCCAACGATGGGCTGGATGGCAGGCGATGACATGTCAGACATGAGGCTCGGCGGCAAGTGGCCCGTTTGTCTTTGTACCCAAGGGTTGACGAAATGCCCACTCCTGGCGGCAGTGAGACGATTGGGCACCTTTGGGTTGTTGATGGAGGCAGATTCATGTGGAAAGC